TGCACACATGGAGAACAACGCCATATGTAACTGTATATTACAAGCATACCTATGTATGCACATATATCCGGAGGCCAAATGCAACACAGAAATATCTGTCAACTACTCACCACAAATATATATAATAGTGAGATTATAGGAAAATGAGCATAACAGTGAGATTTCCAAAAAAAAGTGTTTTCTACAGAATAATGAATTACTAACATCGATGTTATCCTTACAAAAGAAAAGAAATGGAAAACTAAACAAAATAAAAAATGAAGCAAACTAAAATAATAATAAAATAAGTTCTTTATAGTATTAAAAAAATAAGTTCTATGGAAGAATGAATTCATGGCATTGGTATTACCCTTTCAGAAGAAAGAAAGTAAAAAAATGAAGTTTCACTTAAAAGAAATGATGCCCTTTAAAAGAAAGAAAATGAAAAAGGAAAGCCTTTCAAAACTTGCACTGAAATTGCATTTTCTTAATATGCAAAGAATAAGAACACACTAGTGCAATTTTCACATTCTACTATAATATACAAACCTTTCAAAACTTGCACTGAAATTGCACATTTTGCAGTATGCATAGAGTAATTATATAATAGTGCGATATTTCCATGTACTATATAGTATTGCGCTACATTTCCACAGACATAACATCCAAAAAATCCACAAAAGAAAAACAAACTAGCCATAAAAAAAAGCAAACACAAATAAAAACATAAAAGAACAATGATGTAGTTGACTGATTTATTTGGGCCGGGCCTATTAGGAGCAAGTAATGACGCCACCGCCGGAGCTAATGCATGCAAGGACGACTCCCCTCCATGATGTTGCCACATCAGTGCACATGCATCCACTTAATTGTTGTCTACATGCGCATGCATACACGAAAAACATCGCATATGTACTTACAAGCATACCTATGTATGTATGCATGTATATGTGGAGGCCAAATGCAACACATCCCCGTCCACGTAGCTCATATAAGGAAAAGAAAAAGAGAACATAACAGGCTACACAAATATCAGTCAACTACTCACGACAAACATATAATGGTGATAATATAGAAAAATTGAGATTTTCAGAAAAAAAAATTGTTTTCTTAAGAGTAATGGATTACTGACATCGATGTTATGCTTAAAAAAAATCACAACAAAATCAAAATAAAAAATGAAGTAAAACTAAAACAAAATAAAAATGATGTTCTATGGAAGAATGAATTCATGGCATTGGTATTATCCTTCCAGAAGAAAAAAAATAAAAAAGAAAATTATGAAGTTTCTAAAAAGAAATGAAATCCTTTAAGAAGAAAGAAGAAGGAAAAGGAAAACCTTTCAAAACTTACACTGGAATTGCATTTTTCGAAATATGCAAAGAATAAGCATATAATAGTGCAATTTTTACATTCTAATATAATATACAAACATATTATTTAGTACTTGCATTTATACTTGCACACACAAAAACAAATCTAACAAACAACAAAATTTGCACAAAATATACACACAAGTTGCACTTTTTTCGAATATGCAAGAATAAGCATACAATGGTGAAACTTTTGCATAGAAGTTTCCTAAGGAGGAATGAATTAGCGGCATTGTTATTAACTTAAAGAATAACAAAACAATAAATAAAAAATGAAAATAATGAAGTTCTATAGTATAAATGAATTAGTGACATTGATATTACCCTTTCAAAAAAGAAAAGAAAAATTGCACACCACTTTGCACTGATATTGCACATTTTTCACTATGCAAAGAATAATTATATAATAGTGCAATATTTCCATGTACTTCATAGTATTTGTACATATACATTTACACCGACCCAACATTCAAAAATTCCACACACAAATTCCACGTTCTACTACAATTTACAACCATATTATTTAGTATTTGCATTTATACTTACACGCACACACAAAAATCTGAAACAATCAATAACAAAATTTGCACAAAATATACACACAAATTGCGCTTTTCTCAAATATGCAAGAATAAACATACAATAGTGAAACTTTCGCAAAAAAGTACCATAAGGAGGAATGAATTTGTGGCATTGTTCTTAAATTGAAGAAGAACAAAACAATAACTAAAAAAATATAAATAGTAAAGTTTGATACAAAAAATGAATTAGTGACGTTGATATTAACCATTAAAAAGAAATTAATTAAAAAAACTTGCACATCACAATTCACTGAAATTGCACATTTTGCCGTATGCATAGAATAATTATACAATAATGCAATATTTTCATATAATTTATAGTATTGTGTGTCTACATTTACACTGTCCTAACATCCATAAGTTCCACAAAAGAAAAAACAAACTAACCATAAATAAAGACAAAAAACCAAACAAAATCAAAGAAAAACAGAAAATAAGAAGAGGTAGAGGGGAGGGCCAACAACCCACAAAGTAACAAAAAATAAATAATAAAGGAAAGAGAAAAAGAAAACACATAGAAGCAGAAACAGAAATAGAAAAATGAAGCAAAATACCCACAGAATAAACAAATAAAGGGAGAGAGATGAAGGCTGGATCGCGCTTTTAATGTGCTTCAGCCCGGTGGCGATCGACTGGCCCAAATATGCGGTCAGTCAAGACAAACAAGCTTGGTGCAACAAGCAACGGAGGAAGAAGAAAAATGCAGCACGAATCATAAAGCAAAAATCAACGGCCAAAAAAATCGACTTACCCAAACTTCAAATAGAGGCAACTTACAAGTAGCTAAAGTGCTCTTTTTATCTACTAGCTTCCATTCCTAAATATATGACGTTTTGGTAGTTCACTAGTGATACTTCTCATGAATTAACTCTAATAAATTATTTTTGTCTGCCCATATTGTTTTTGTTTCATCTCCGTTTGCTTAAGTTTAAATTATGTTATGACAGTGTTTTTTTGTCTAGCATGCTAGTAAATTGCTACTGGAGACAATATTTATTATGAGAGGAAAGTGGAGTTGTTTGATGCGTGATTGTCATGACTCCGTGTTTCGGCCTCGGTGTCAGCCGATGATGGTTGTGTGAGCCACTTGAGAGCACCAATTTCACAACTAAACATATAATTGTTGTGATAACACCTGAATAGGCTGTCCCATGAAGTTTTTGCTTGCTCAACTCGGCCCCTCACCACTCGCTCGTTTATCTTTTTCTCCGCTCGCTCGGTTGCTAGCTCAAAAAAAGGTTAAGTTTCTTTATTAGAAAAGGTTCATTAAATCAAAAGATGTCCATAGATTTTAAAAATGTTGTGGACTAAAAAACAATGGTGTTTTTTTAATATTCATGAATTAAAAAAACCATGATTTAAAAAAGATATGTGACTTTAAAAAGGTTCTCAAACAAAAACTATGTTCACTAATTTTCAATCTTTGTGAACCTTTAAAATATGCGAATATTTGTTCATGATTTTTTTTAAATGTTAGCATCTTTAAAAAAATATTTATATTTTTCAAAATGTTCAGGACTGAAAAAGTGCAAAATAATGAAAAGTAAAACATAGATTGAAAAAACGAACCCCGAAACACTAAACCAACAATACCCACTTATAGACGGACCCAATTAGTGTCCCCACAGGCTCGACACAACAGGAGGCTCCAAATCAAGGGAGTTTACTATCTTAATAAATTTCCTGTGAGCATAGTATCTCTAGGGAAATGCTGAAATTATGGTGGTGTGGATGTTTGGAATCACTACTTAAGGGTTAACCCATGCAAAAGGTCACTGCCCACCTTTTGAATTGTTGTCAAGTGGGTGCACTGCATGTGTGCTACTTGTGGCAAACTCTGAGTTTTTTTTCCTTTTTTTCTCGTAGACTCGTTTATTGAAAATATACTATCTCTTTTACTGTTTTCACCATTGGATTTCTCGCGGGGATTTCTCATTGCCCACCTTTCGCGAAGTTTTTATTCAACTGTCACCATATTCAGGCGGTAACCATTGGTTTGTTGCTCAATTCTGGACCTGGGCTTGTGTTGTAACATTGCTGTCTTGCCAGGTCCAAATTGTGGTGGGCTCAGGGGCTATTGCGAAAGCAGAATCATTCATGAAGGACGTTTATCCCATACTGATGCTCATAGTTTAGCAAAATTTTCTGTTAGGTTAGCTTAGAGGCGCCATGTATGGCTTTTGCAACCCCATGATGCTTCATGTATCCCACATTCTGTGGTATTCGATGATGAATAAAGTTATTTATCACCCCTCAAAAAAAACTTATCACAATGATCGTGAGTTTGTGACTCAGTCCTGCTTACTGAAACAGAGAGGGTACCGCTGAGTGTATTTTTCTTCTTCTTTTAATTCGTGTCAGTGTGGTCGGACTGGCCGGCTCCGAACAGGAAGGTCTGGTCGTTTGACCTGTTGCGAGGTTCCTCGTTTAATCATCTTCCTTCCTGTAGGGAGTGCGAATCGGACGGACAAGGACGTCGCTGTACATAGTTTCTCCCTTCTTCTGCATGAACCAAAAATAGTCAATAATTCCACACGCATGCACCGATCGAGCACGCCCACGGATCACGCGCGCGCCCTAGGCTATCTTGCTAAGCTGGAGTAGTACGCTACGCAATACGCATGCATGCTATCCGTTGCTTGATCCTTCTAAACTGGCTCCATTCATCACTTGGCAATAACAAGGCGGCGTGCCCACGCCCTCGTAGCTCTCGAGATCAAAAATCTCTAGCTTGGCATGCATGCATGCGCTGGCCCGTGAACTCAATGGAGATTTTTGCTGCTACTTTGGAGCATGCGCGCGTTTGGGCCAAGTTGTTTGGAACTTTGGATCCTTCCCGTGTCCGATGCGGACGGCCGCGTGCCCAGCTACGACACTGCAAGCATGCGCACAGTGATTCACTGAAACCAGCTGCCTAGTCCGCTAGTCGTATTAAACCGCGGCAACTTGACCTCCTCGCAAGCCTATAAAAGTGGGCTCCATGCACCACACTCAGCACAGCACAACATCCTCTCACACATACAACAGACAGATCGATCGAGCGGATCCAAGCCAATGGCAACCAAGAGCCTTCTTCTCGCCGCCCTCCTGGTCCTCGCCGTCAGCCTGGCGCCGCACGGTGCGGAGGCGGGCAAGCAGCTTCCACTGGGACTCATCGCCGGCGTTGTGCCATGCAGCGGCGGGAACTCCATCAACGCGGCTGCGGTTCCGCCGTTCCCGAGTAAGGACCTCTGCCTGCCTCCATAGCCATTAGCCGCGCAAGCAATTATATTCATCAACCGTCTACCTTACGTTTGCTTTGCTTCTTTGCTCTGCACAGACGCGGCCGTGCAGATGGTGTGCGGCCGTGATGTGATGGCCAGCGCGACGACGGACGGCAGCGGAACGTACACCATGAACCTGGGCCCGGCCACCTCGTCGCTGCTCGCCCCACTGCTCGGCAACCAGTGCAAGGTTGTGGTGGTCACCCCGCTGGCCGCGTGCAACGCGTCCCTGGCCAGCGTCACCGGGACGCTGACCGCACCGGTGCAGCTCCTTGGTATTGACACTGGCAGTGGCAGCGGTAGCGGCAGCAGCGGCCTCGGGGGGCTTGGTGGCCTAATTGGGCTCATTGGCCAGATAGTGGGCGGCCTCCTCGGCGGCATCCTTAACATCATCCCATTGCCCTTCTCCGTCGTCTAGATGCTCAACTACAACCGGCGTGTCGATCGAAGACACGAATGGACCTAAATAAATAAATGCGTTCCAACCTACCAATGTACCCAATGGTCAACTATCCCCGCTTTTATTATTATTATTATTATTATTATTATTATTATTATTATTATTATTATTATGTAAAATCTACTCATGTGGTATGTGTTACCGCTTCTAAGAAGCACATAAGTAAGCATATCGCGTAATACCCTGAGTGTGTGTCGTGTGATCAATGTTCGTTCGTGAAAAATAATCTGTGATTCTATAAGTGATGAATTACTTGTTTTGTTTCTTTTCACATTGTGATTGGCCCACATCACCGTGGTACCCAAAGTTGCTCTAACAAGATAATTCGTGTATTACTAGAGGCTCACCCGTGCTTTGCGGCGCCATTCTTCACTAAAGGGATCAACACTTTTTTATTAGTAAGATTATTTCAGTTGATTGTTTTGTTTAGCTTTTCTCTATGTTGGCTTAGGTTTTAATTATGGTGTGGTTTTTGTATAGCGTGATAGACTAATATTGGAGACAATATTTGTTCTAAGAGGAGAGTGAGGTTGGTTGGTTCATGATTTGTGGTCTCTTCACATGTTTCGGCCTTAGTGTAAGTCGATGATGGTTGTGTTAGCCACTTGAGAGCCCATATTATACGCTGAAACCGTAGAATTGGTGCGGTAATGTTCAGGTCGTCCAACCAGACTCTTGCTCGCTCAGCTCGGCTCCCTTCACCGCTCGCTCTTTTAGGGGTTTTCCCATTCGCGGCATTGCTAGCTAAGGACATGCCGTCTACCATTTTTACTTAAAAAGTTCATTAAATCAAAAGATGTTGACATATTTTAAAAATATTACGGATTAAGAAAACTATTAATTTTTAAATATATTTGTGAATTTCAAAATCATCCATGGATTTCCAAAAGTATATTCGAATTTTAAAAGGTTTCTCAAACTAAAATAAGTCACTAATTTTATGTGAACTTTAAAAATATAAAATTTCATGATTTAAAAAAATCATGGATTAAAAAATATTTATAGATTATTGAAATGTCCAGGAATTATGATAAACACTCATGAGTTAGAAAATATATTAGTATAAAATTAATAATTAAAGGAAAAGATGAAACCCAAAACACTTAACCGACAACACACGCTTACAGACGGACCCCTTAATGTCCCCGCAGGCCCCGCACTAGGAGGCTCAAAATCAAGGGAGCAGTATATAAAATACTCAGCCATTGATATATGAGTTTTCACCCAAACAAAATAATATGTTCATAATTTAAACAAAATCATACAACTAACAAAGAAAATTAGGGAAAATTTTATTCATCCACTTATGTTTGGTGGGTAAATAGTAAGGTCTACTTAAATATGGAGATTTTTTTAATCAATTTGTGATTTTATTCGGAACTTGTTCCTTTCTTCTTTGCACTCGCGATTTGTTTTTAGAAATATTCTCTAATTTGGGCTTCAACTATCTTTTGTCTTCTTTTCCCCCTTACAACCCCGAGAGGCCGGGTTCCATTTGTGTCTCTCCTTTTTTTTAACATAAGTTGGCGTATCTCTTAGAAACTAAGAAGATGCATCATCATCTTCTTGTGTGAATCGACATTGATTTGATCCTGGCATTCCCCATTTCCACGTCACTGTTGCAGCATGCAACATCAGTACAATATATGTTTTAGGAAAGAAGAGCCACAAAGAAGACAAACTAACAATCTCATTCCTTGCCTATTAACCATAACGGGCCAGGATTCCAGACCACATAGCATACTGGGCCGTTCCATCACACGCTAAACGACCGGGCATTATGCAGGAACAGACCGCTCAAAAACAAAATGCAGGGAACAGAGGTGTTTTAGTACCACCTCGGCTGCTTACAAGCAGCAGAAGCAGCTTAAAAGGGAACTTCCATGGCAATGATCCATGACCTTACTTGAACAAGATCTGTTCTATAGGATCGTACCGTTGCATCCTTTACTAATAAGAGCATCTCCAATAGACTGTTCAAATGTATGGCCTCCTCGTGAAATACAACACCTCTGGTGCTAATATACATCACCAGATGCATCTGGTCCAAAACCAGCCGCCGACCTCCTCCCGTCGGCCGTGAGTATGTCCACGGCCGTTGCACCACCCGCCGAGCTCCTCTTAGCCGGCCTCCAACCCGCCCGCAGCCGTAAGATTCGCATAGATTCATTATTTGTTTGTTCAAAACTATGTTGTATTTGTATTGCATTGCATCTCGTGGATCTGAAAAACTATGTGATAATTTGATATTGTGAACACGAATTTTTTTATGTTATTTTCAAATATTTGCGGCTGGACAGCGGCTTAACAGCAGCCGGGCGGCTGCTGGCCGGTTTTGGACCATCTATTGGAGTTGCTCTTTTGGACCATGAATTTGAACCATCTGTTGGAGTTGGCCTTTTTTTGGAGTTCCAAAACGCACTTTTTGGCGGTCCAAAATTTACATCTCCGGTTTTGAACCGTTAAAATTTGGACCATCTATTGAAGGTGCTCTAAGGAGGCAAGCACTTAAGCTTGATTGATGACATCTGACCTGTGGGCCAGAGCGTGATTAACTGCTTGGATCAGCTGCTGATCTATGGCTTGTTCAGCCTAGCCTGACCCAGGGTGGCTCACAGGTTGTCTGACAAGTCTCTCCCCTCCCTTTTTTATTGTTCTCTTCCCCATTTTTGCAATAATCTGCACACACACACTAGTGCAAAGTTGCAGCTGATGCACACTGACAGTACCAATGCGTACGTGCAGGGCCATCGGCTGAACGATCGTCAGCTCTTCACATGGTACGGGGTGCTGAGCATCCAACTTGCTAATCTTTCTTCCGATGGAACCCAAGTTGCTGCTATCAAGATCAGCCTGGGGCTTCATCCAACACACGAAACGAACTGGGATCGCTAGCTCATGTTCTCACATGGCCCGGCCAAAGAAGCCCTTTTTGCTGCGAGACACGACCGGTGCCCCTCGCCGAGGCGGGGCCAGACCAGAAGCTCGTGGGGCTGGAGCTGATTGAGCCATATGTCTCGCTGCAAAGCTTCTCATGCGTCGATCGGCGCTGGCCCAGGCGCGAATCCTCTCCGATCGCCTACCACTAAATTTCCTTCTGAAAAGCTCCCGTGCACATGCCACAGTACGGGCAGCCGGGCCAACTCGCCGTGTCTCACTCGGTCGATCTAAATGATTCCTCTCTGGCACCGGCCATGCCTTGAGATTCCTCACTGCAACATTTATACTTCTGAAACAAGACTTCTCATGCGTGTGACCTCTGGGAGACTTCTCAAGTGATCTTATGAGCCCTTTGACAATCGAGCCCGTACCGTGCGTGATAATTCACACACTGTGCTGCGCAATCACTCCATGGTTCCACGTATATAACACGCTCAAGAATTGAATGACATCGCATGCCATGAGTCAACAAGTGGTCGCCAGGCCTGCAGGTCGGTCCATACATGCATTATTGCATATCTATGAGCACCCCCCGTGCTCCTCTGACTTCCACATTCCCATCACAAAATGGCAGGCCCACGCCGTTGAGATTAGGGAGAAATTGCCGGCTTGGCGGGTCGTTGGTTCTACCCGATCAGACCAACGTGGTTGCTAATGCTTGGGTTCGTTGCCTGTAGCAGCACAGATGATGCACAGCACAACGTCTGACATGGTGCATACTCCTTTTTGACATGATTTTGGTTAAGACTTAAGAGTCTACCGGCCGGCACCTGTCAGCTAGTACTCCCTCCGTTCCGAATTACTTGTCGCATGTATGGATGTATCTAGATGTATTTTATTTCTAGATACATCCATTTCTGCGACAAGTAATTTGGAACGGAGGGAGTAGATCCCACGTACTATTATCAGGCAACTGATGGCCCCATTAAATGCGTGGATCAAACCAAGCTTTGACATTCTGTAAACGCAGTTATAGCTTGAATTATCCTGAAGAAAAAAAACGCGGTTTTCTCCAACAAGTGCCCTAGCTAGCTATGAGATGCACAGAGATTTAAGCAACACTAACCACCTAGTTAGCATAGCCAGCTAGGCCGTTGTACAGCAGCTCACTAAGCACAATGGCAGATGGCACAGGGACACTCGACGATCGAGTTGGCCCTCCTGTTTACGCTGTTGCTAGTGCCTCAAATAAGCTACGAACCACCATGCACATGGTCGAGCCATCGAGTACGTCGGAACGTTTGAGACGGGCAATGCGGTACGTACACCAGGTAGGGACATACAGGTTGCATGCATGGTGCCGCGGCCGTGATCGTCGGAAGGCTCCCCGGCGGGAACGCCGCAGCCAGTCTAACGAACAGTCCGGTTAAACTTGCTAGTGCAATGCAATGCAACCTCCGACGAGCATTGGTAGTATTTTATTTTATTTTCGTTTTCGTCGCGAATTACACAATGTTTCCATCAGCAATGAGAAGGAACAACAAGGCACACAGGAACTGTTGTAATTCGACAGTGACTCGAAGGGAATTTGGGGGCAAGGTTTGCCTGATGTAACCAGAAAGGGAAAGTGAGAGTTCAGGGGTCACAAAGGAGTTGACCCGTGCACCCAGGCTGCGAATGCGATAGACACCGGCTCCACAGGCAGGCCCATCGGGCCCAGCATACCTAACGACAAATAACGACGGTGCGGGTCCGCATTGTGTGGGCCTCTGGGCTTCCGTCATAGCCCACCCGGACTGTTCGCATGCGGCGTTTGGGGCCCAGGTGGTGTTGACCCCGCATGAGCCAGATGGTGAGTTTGCCCTCGTTTCACACTGGGCACATCATTAAAGCCACAGAATTCACAAGAAAGGAAAAAGGCACTGTATTATTCAGTGCACCCACTCATTCAGGAGAGGAGACGCCCCGTCCGTTAACGATAAGCTGCGTCCAATAGTTTTGTTGTACTCCCATGGTTATCCATTGGCCGCGAGTGTCCATGACGTGCACGCAGTGCATAGTAGAGTTTTAGGTAAAGA